TATGTGACTTCGTGCAATCCTGTATGGGTCTTTTACTGCTTGGGAGGTAATGGTGTAGCGTGCTAGCAAATTCAGTTCCATGCTAGGAAAAGGAACAACTTTGTGACAGTTTGTCCATCATCAAAGGTGGCTTTTGTCAGTCAGGCTCTCCGTATCGCATTCCCCAAGAATTTGGAGAACTTCTGGCAAGATTATTTCTTGGTTTTGTTCAAAGAATCCCTTTGTATATACGTAAAGGGGGAAAGACCAATACACTGCTTACCTGGAAAATCGGACCGTGGTGCCCATGTGCATGGAGGGGCCTGAGCCTGAGAAGGGCATTGGTAGCAGTGTGGGGGCCTTGGAGGAGGCACACCACAACATGGGCAAACACCCAAAAGTGAGGAGGGTGCTACAGCTCACGAGGAGACTGGTGCCTGAATGTGCTGCAGGAAAGTGGTGGCCACGAACAATTAGATCTGGGCCATATAACAGATATTTATTGTGGTGAGTCATCTCTGTCCTGTTTCATGTCTGTAAGACTGGGATAACAAGGTCATCTTATGTTGTAAACCCTGAAAAGGTTTGGAGGCCTGTGTTCTTCTACTAGCTGGAGCATCGACAGCATGTGCTTCTGTCATTTATAACAGGGTTATCAAGACTGCAAGCTCTTTGCCCATGTCCACAGGGAAAGTTATAATTACCTATGTATGGGAAATTAAAAATGGAAGTCATTCGCTGCACTGGAAGCTGACTCAAGAAGGACAGATCATCAGTGGGGAGACGTGATAAGGAAAATAAAGCTACTGCATCACAAACCGGAAAACTGTGGGAGAAAAAACCCAAGTGGCCTCTACCTACTACCAACCCATCTATTGGTGATCCACCCATCTCTCTACTCGCTACATATTTGGATGTTTTTATTTAAAAAACAGGCAAGGGAGCGGGCGGGGAGGTCTGGCTGGGGCAAGAGGAAAGCGGCTAAAGGACCTTTTCCCTGGCTGGTAAATCCATGCCTGGTCTCCCTTCAAGGCTTCGTAGTTTAGAAAGAATTGCAGTTTGTTCTTCAAAAGATGTGTCAGTCTGTTATGGATTAAGGAGACAATATGCCTTCCACATTTACTCTCCCCACAAAGACTGATTTTTGGAGGATTTGCTAGTCACTTCATTTCAGACATATTTCTTAACGTTTTTGGATTTCTTTGTGGTTAAACTTAGACTCTCTCCTTCCTGAATCCTATAAGGCTTGCTGTGTGGTGTTTGTCCTTTCATGGTCATTACTGATACATACCCGCTGCACTCATTGTGCTCTACTAAAATCATTTTGTCAGGGTAAAAATTACAAATTAAAATGTTCTCTCAGAGGGAGGACCCCAAATATAATTTTGTAACAAAAATTCCCCAATCATTTCCAAACTGAAGTTAATTTAAAATGAAAGATAAATCTTTCCCTTTACTACTACCCAGATGGGATCTTCCAAAGCTTCAGACATGAATAATCTCTCTGAATTTTCCGGCTATTTCAACATCCCGGCCGTACCGAACCCAGCCTGTGGCTCTAGCACCCATTCAGGAAAATCTGCAGACAAGGCCAATGCCTGACATCTCTATCCATTAAAATCAATGGGCACACCTCTTTTACTTTCCTTTCTCGGTTCTCGTTCCCTGCCATTGCTTGTTTGCAGCTGGACTTCCATTTTGCCCTTTTTAATGGGAACTTGGGAAGTTCCCACTACTTTACTGTCTCTGC